CTCTTTATGGACGTATATATGACAAAATCCTTATTGTTAACAATTATGTTAATCCTCTAGAAACTAAATTCACGCAAGAAAAGGAAAATTGACTGCTGTTTTTATAATCAGAGGACAGAAATAAACCATGCTAATCATGCAATCATAATTTATATTCTGGAATTCCAGAACACTTGCTAAAACAAATAGAGGCCTCTCAACTACTTTAGATCTGTATTTGTTTACATGATTTTGGCATTGGAATTAGGAACTCCAACAAATTACACTCACATTTGTTTTTATTTCCTTCAATTCTATTTTAAACTTGAATTCCGTGCGAACAAATCCTGACAAATATTAACGCCAACCCAACGCTGAATTCAAATAATTTAAACTCAAATGGTAAATACTGTCATTAATTGTCAACATAACAACAAAATTTCCAAACATTTAGAAATTAGCTTACCCTGCCTAAATATCATACCAACCACAGGACAGAGTAAATACAACTTCAATTTTGATGGATAAGAGTAATTACTTTTGACACAAACGAAATTCAAAATTCATAACTCTATAGTTCCTTGTTGTATATGCATCAAACATCGTCTATATCTACGTGTCTATGGCAGTGAACATATTACGAATCGAGCAAAAGATATGTACTATCGTAAAACTCAAATTTAAAACTACACAAATTGTACAGTCTACATACATACAGGCAAAATATGTATGTATATACCGTAGATGAGAGCAGATATCTTGGACTCAGTGTCCGAGTCACGAGAGAGTTGAGCATCGGATGGAGGTGGTGATGACATCATCGTGCAAGACTTCAAAGCCAGAGAGTGATTAGAGATGAATTTGAGAGCGCGGGCCATTATTTTTATACTTGGTTTGGGTGGGGTTTTTCTTATGTTTGGTAGGCATTAAAATCAAAATTTTTAATAGATTTTGATAAAAGTTGATGAAATATTTAATTAAAAAATTGTGAATCACATGAAATATATGATTAAAATTAATTATTAACATTTATTTTGATTAAAATTTAAATTTTAATCCCTATCAAACATGTACTAAATTGGGTGTTGAAAATTTCTAGTTTTTCACAAATGGAAATAAAGCGAAGAGTAAAATACAAAATCATAGTTCACTAATAGACTCGACCTAATCATTAGCAAAATTATATATCATATATAAATTATCACACTTCATTTTTAACCACGAGTCTGTTTGGAAGTGATTTTGAGAAGGGGAATTTACACAAATGTCACTAAAATTGAAAATGCAAAAAAAATTTGGACATTCACCAATTTCTTCCAAGAATGTCAATTTTTCCCTACAAAATGTCCACTTTACCCTTTAACACCTTTTTGGAGCAATAAATGCTTGATTTGAATGCAATTAATGTTATGATGTGATTAATTTATTTTTGCTTTAAATTTAATATTGAAGATATGATATTATATTGTATAATAAGATTTTTTTGATTAAAAAAGGGGTGAAATCTTTACAAAATACACACACACACACACGAATTGAAAGAGCTTCTTCTTCTTCATCATCTCCACTCCATCATCAACAAGGAAACAAGGAAAGCCATTGACAAATTTGAAAGGTAAGGTAGTAGAAAAAAGTTCATCTCATGTCATAGTTGACAACTTTAAATGTTCAATACAATATGATCATATTTAAATGAACCCTTTCAATCTCTTATTCATTGATGTAGTAAATTTTTGGTATATTTTAGAAAGAAAAATTATACCAATATTATATAGAAAATGTGAAGTATTCCACATATAATTCAACATTTAATGAAGCATTAAGTGATACCTTGTTCATTTCTAAAAAGATACGGTGATATTGTAGTTCAGAATTTATTATGGCCTTTACCATTTTCAATAAATTCGTCAAACAGTGAAGCACATGGAATTTATCTTTCTCGAAAGTTATGGCAGTAGAACTGTCGAGCAGTATCTTGGAAACTGTCGGGTTAGACATTTTAACTGTCGAGCTCGACATTTACTAACTGTCGGGATAGAAAATGTAATTGTCGATTTCGACACCTGAAAACTGATCATCTTTTATATCTTTGGTAGTACATGGATGTAAGTATTTTCGTGTGCCAATTTGATGTTATGAAATGTCGACATACGAATGTGCAGAATTCTCACTTTTGCAATCCTAACATTTCAGGTATAAGTCATGATTTCAGATTCATCGTGTCGCATGGAAGAAACTTCGTTCACTCAGATGATGAATGGAAGTGGAGAGGGGACAAAACCACTTCCATTTTAGTGTCGAGAAGTATTACCGTAGCAGAACTTCTGTTACGATTGAAGGAGAAACTTGGTATCGTTGAATCCCGCAATGCAATCGAATTGAAGTTCAAAGTCCCGAACTTGAATCTACCTCCTGCAGAGATACGCGACGATGAGGATCTACAGTGGTACATATCTATTCATAAGGAAACTGCACTCTGCATCACATATTTGGTATCCGAGCTCCCAATTATTGGTATGGCAACAGATGCAAACTGTGAAGGGAGCTTGTTCGGCCCAACGGAATGTCCACCGAATGTACAACATGACGAGATGAATCATCAGCACAGTGTGTCACAAACCGAATGACCCGAACCTCCAATTGAGCGTATAGAGGCTGCAGCATCCGCCGAACACTTAGAGAACCCATTACATGGTACAGATCGTGCTATTATTGCTGAAATCGACGAGACAATGTCATCAAATTCCAGACGTTCGTGCACAGATGAGTGGATTACAGCTGCAAATACATCGGTTCTCGCCAAGAAGCAAATATTCTTTACCAAGAAACAGTTGTACTCGAAGCTTCATGTACTTGCTTTGCAAGAGAAGTTCCAATTCCGGGTAAGCAGGTCAAGCTTGAAAATGTTAACAGTTGTCTGTGTGGATGATAATTGCAAGTGGATGCTACGTGCTTCTACTGTCAAGCAATCTGCAATCTTCATGATCCGTAAGTTCGTTGCAGTTCACACATGTTCCCTTGATTTTCGTCGTAACGCACATCGGCATGCCACTAGTGCTGTAATTGTGGAGCACATTTTGGGAAAATTGGATACTCCATACTGATCATATCCGCCTACTCATATTGCACGTGATATGGAACGTGAGTTTTGTGTGAAAATCAGTTATAGCAAAGCACGTAGGGGGAAGCTCCATACCTTAAATATGCTACATGGTACACCAAGGGACAGTTTTCAGAAATTATCTTCGTACTGTAACGTCGTAGGAGAAAGTAACCCGGGGACCGTTACCCACATCGAAGTTGATTCTTGTAATAGGTTTCGTTACTTCTTCGTAGCTTTTGGTGCAAGCATTCGTGGATACATGCAGTACTTGAGACCCGTTATTTATGTTGACGGCAGTCACTTGAAAGGTCCATATAAAGGTACACTCCTAGTGGCAACTGCCCAAGATGGTAACAAACAGATTTATCCGTTGGCATGAGGGATCGTGGATGCTGAAACCAATAAATCGTGGAAGTGGTTTCTGTCGAACTTGAAAGACCTTATAGGGGATTCCGAAGAACTCGTGTTCGTTTCAGACAGGAAAAAGAGTATTCAGAAAGCTATTTCTCAGTTGTTTCCGTCGTCTCGGCATGGTTGTTGTATATGGCATATGGAAAAGAACCTAATACAGCAGTATAACAACGCAAGCGTATTATTTCTATTCAAACGAGCTGCTACAACTTTTCGGGTCGAGGACTTCGAACGACTCATGGGACAGATTCGTAGAGTGAGCGAAAGAGCGCACGGGTACTTAGAGCGAGCGGGATATTCATTTTGGTTCAGAGCACTATTTATTGGACACCGTTACAATATTATGACAAACAACAATGCAGAGTCGTTGAACTCGATGTTGAAAGAAGCCCGGTCGTTACCGATAACCTGTTTGGTTGAACACATTCGGAGTATTATGCAGAAATGGTTTTACGAACGTCGAGTAAATGCGGAAGAATGCAGTACCTTATTGACACCAAGGATGGAGAACGAGCTACGGACGACTTTCGAAAATGGAACTAGGCTTCGAGCCCATGCCCTGACAAACAACTTGACGCAGGTTGGAATATCCAACGACACGGACATAGTTGACTTGTCCGAAGAAACCTGCACATGTCGTGAGTTCCAACTAAACCATGTGCCATGTGTTCATGCAAGTCGTGCTGCTTGCTTTAGAGGGAAGACGTTGTACAAGCTTTGCTCCCGTTATTATTCATCGGACTACTGGAAGGGTGCCTACAGTGAAACTATATATCCTGTTCCGAGGGAAGTGGATTGGGTTGTTCCGAGCTTAATTACATGTACTCCTATTTTCCCACCACTCGTACGTCGTCCTCCAGGTAGACCACCAACCCGTCGTAAGCGTTCTAGGTATGAGTATGCATGGTCTACCAGAAAATGTACCCGCTGTGGTAGAGTTAGTCATAATCGGACCACGTGTTCAAACCCCCGTGTATCACATGCTCCTTAAAGATTTGCAGGTTAATAGACGTTGTATGTTAATTATTCCGTACTACATCGAACATTATGAAATTACGATTTACATTTTGTGATCATTAATGTTCTTGCATGTTGCGCATCCTGTTGTGCACATAAAAATTTCACTGTCTGTCCAGCACGTAGTAAACATCCCGCCCAGTTCAAATGTCGGCCCCGATAGATGTGTTACTTATTCTCGACAGTTGACGAAACCTTGCACTACACTCACGGTTTGCGTCACACATACATGTTGTGACCTCTAAACACGAGAACGAAAAATGTTTGATACTGTACATATATATTTTTTCCCATTTCGAAACGCAATCTTCTATCCCCCTACAGATTTACTATCATTAGCATCATCTTAAATCGAAATTGAAGGTAGTGCAAAACGCAATCTTGAATCCCGAAGAAATGTACAACCATTTGCGTCATCGTAAATCATGGATTAAAGTTAGTCCATGATACACACCTTTCACAATAGTCGTTTTTCATACTGCAAAATACATAACCATTTTTGTACATATTATTGTTACTGCCCGACAGTTGACATGTCGTCCCCGACAGATAGTCTCAGTAATTCTCGACAGTTCGACCGAAAAACGCAAAAAACATGACACGAATTGCATCTTAGAGACATGTTCACGAGAACTTTTTGGTATTGTCTTAACTACGGTCATCCCTACAAAATACCTTACTATACAGTACTTATTCACTACATTCCATGGGTCTCACATTAGTCGTCGTCGACAACTGAACCACCTTCCCCGCTATCCTCACCTGACTCGTCGGAAGAGATGATAATGACCTCATTTGGGGGATCGTACGCCATCCAGTCGTCGTCATCGTCGGAATCCCCCTCGTATCCGGCATCCAGCTCGAACTCCTCATTGAGGACTCCATTCGGTGATTGCGCACCCTCGTTGGAAACAACTTCTAAGTTGGAAAAACGAACAGGGGAAATGGCTCCCCTCCCAATACGAGGGTTAACTTCCTCCTCATCTGACGAAATATAAATTGGAAAAAGCGGAGATGAACCAAGAACTAGCAGTGGCCCGTTCATGTTCAACGGTTCGTTGCTTCCTGTGGAAGAACTCATTACGTGAACGTATAGTAGTACTGAAGGAATGATAAGTGTCTGTGAGAAGGTGAATGGGTGACAATGGTCTTGAAAGAACTTGTTTGTAAGTGAGAATGAAGTCCCACACTTTTTATAAGCAAATTGAAGGGGAAACAATTATAGTCTCCATCTACCCAACCACCAAGTCCATTCTCCTAGTAAATTTGAAATGCAATTGGTATGATGGTTGAATAAATGAAGTGTACCTTTATCCCCCATTTCCCCATACTTAGTACAATGTTAAACACTCTTTAATCATGTGCACAATTAAGGAAATGTGCATATCTGCAACAAAAAACTGCTCAATCAAATTGCTACTTTTAATTTGCTATGGTTGTAATGGTATAGTTCCTCACACGTACGGGTCATCATCGCAACACACATGGAAGACGAACAACGAAATAATTATTTTTACTCATTTCATTGATTTATGAATTACTTTTTACCGTGGTTGTCATGCTCTTGACACTTGTAATGACTCATCTTCTCGTTGCATCTCATGTATGTGCCTTAATGCCTTAGTTTGAGAATTTATCATAATAATATCGTTCCCGATTAAAGCTATAGTGAAGACTAGATACCACTACATAAATTTATGAAATATAACATTCCCTATTTAACGTAAGCAACACGGGTGTAAGAAGCGTAACACAAATTAGAAAATCTTAAAGACTCGAAGTATATTACTACATCTATAATAAGATTGGATCGAATATCAACAATATCAAGAAAACAGTAGTTACAAAGCATTTCGGGAAATTGACATGTTGCATACGCATGTTCCCCTCCTTCAAAAGAAAATAAGCGCACACAATATGTCCAACAAAAACATATACCGAACAACAAAACGAACCTAATTGATACAATCAACAAAGGTAAAATAGCAGACACAATTCATAAACACTACAACTACCGATCAGCCAAGCAAAATAAAATATGAGGAATCTGTCCACGTATCACCACGGTACACAAGAGTAATGAAAATGTAATGTAAAACGAATTCAAACAAAAGTTATTTATTCAACATGTTAACATCCGTCACCACCTTCACCAAATCGCTGACGGGGTATTACCAACTACAACACCATCGTCGTGCTGTTCCCACAGTTCACACTCCTTTTACTTCTTCGTTTGCTTCGCCGCCCTTGTATACGGAGTCTTGGCCGCAGGAGCTGGACGTCGCACCCGTGCCGAGCGTCGACTCGTCGTATGAACTCCGTGTCCTGGTTCGGCTACACTGGCGGGAACAAGGACTTCAGCGAGATCGCCTACGAGAATTCAAAAGGAGGGGGGAGTTAGTGACCATAAATGCCCTTCACGTAACATACAATAAGTGATGCAAAGAATGAACTTACCATCACCATCCGTAACATCGCAACCCTGTAAGTCGGCATCGTTGCTCGGGGCCGCATGTGAGGGCTCCATGGCTCCTCCATCTAACATTACAACATATTTGTAACTGCATATGTGTTCGACGTTTGCAGTTGGAAGATAATGGAAGCGTACAGGAAGAAAGAAAATGAGAAAAATAATTCCCATGTAACTGTTCAAATCCGGGACGGCAAAGATCGGCTCCATCTGTCCTCCACCTAATTGGAGACCACAATCACACCACAGGAATATGTTATTGCATTTTCATGAAGTCAGAACGGAAGTAGATGCCATCGAATATAGTGGGGAAAAATCGTAGCACATGACAACGTACCTATATGTTCGTCGGTTGCTACGGGCAGTGGGTCGTGTACGTTGTCCGGGCGAGCCGCGATGTCTCCTCCATCTGTTGATGAGAACATGAAAACTATGTGAATACATTAGGTTTCCCAACTTCCACAACATACAAAGTCCGTCAAATAACAAGTTTCAATGTGCTCATAAATAACCCACGTACCTTGTACATGTGCAGTTCCTGTATCTGCCCGCATGTCTCGCTCGTTTGGGGAATGCTTCATTTCTCCTCCATGTATTTCTAACTCGCAATTGTCGTATGGAAAAAAATGTGAGCTACAGGTGCATGTGCTACTGTCGAACATGGGTGAAAATTATAAACCAAACGGTTTATGTATTGAACATTCATACCTTGCAGAATACTACCTGAAACGCTACCCTCGGTATCGACGGGCATCGCGGCTGGAACGGGGGTCGGAGAAGGTGGGGCCACGAGGGTAGCAAAGAAAGCTCGAAGCTTTTTACATTCGGATGTCATGTGCTGTTCGATTTCAAGCTTGACGATGCGGAGTCGCATTTCAAAGAGAATTCTTTGGTCGAACAACAGCTCTTCCACTTCCTCTTTGGTGACGCCTGATCCGGATGTGCCAACTGGCCGTGTCTCCATCGTCGGCCCTCGCACTGGAGAAGATATGTGGGTCGCTGGAGGTGTGGAAGACGCACCGGTCTGCCCTCTACAAGTATTCGCACCGACGCTGGATCGCTCACTGGCGTCCTCGCCACTCTCCTCGGCATCGACACTTTCATCTCCAGACGTGTCATCCTTACCACCTCCTCCGCTCGAGACTCCATCATCGGATTCCTGCCTCACCAACTGGCCGCCACTTCCACTATCTCCGTGTGATGCATTAAACTGCGACCCCACAATATTCCTGACAATCTCATCCAACACAGGCACCGGAGGATCATCGTATGGCACGAGAGTAGAGAAATACTGCTGTTCCGCCTTAGCGTCGGTGGGACGAAGTGTGGCATACACATGCAACTGCAATGTACGGTTATACATTAGAAACGAAAAGATTCAGGAATGACACAAAATGTGAATAACAAAAGTAACACGTGGTATCCATACCCGCACGTTCTTGAAGAATGCATCGTACGTACGATGCTGTGGTTGTTTTCATGCGGACCACCTAAGCAATCGTGGCATTTGTTCCCCAACTCTCTGACCAAAACGTTCCCCAATCTCGAGAACTGCCTCGTACGCCCAAACCTGTTCCATCAAGACAAACAGAAATAAAATAACTGAGATGGTACGCACGATGCTACATGACGGCAAACAAATGAAGCATGATATGCTAGTATTTAAAACATTGTGTACCTGCATGGCAATGGGAAATCCATGAATAGTGTACGTAACCTCCTTCTCTTGCCTCCTCTTCGCCTTCAGAAATTTCTTTGCCCAGAAATCCCGGAATCCGTGCAGCAAACGCCGATAGCCGACTCTACCCCAAGGGTAGGCAAAAAAGATATCTAGGTCGTCAACAATAGATAGTGTACGCAAATCAATTCCGACGTTATTATCAGGGGCATTAAAAACTCCTTCGACTATTAGCATGAGCCCTAGCTTGTAGCGGTCGGCTCGGGCCGTCGAAGGTCGGGCAATAGTAGTTTGGAGTTGTGCCAACGATATCTTCTCCATGGATTTGAAGTACCTCTCCTTCAGCCTTCTCCTCTCCAGCACTCGATCGAACTCATCAACCTCCGGGAATACACCGCATCTTAACCCCGTCACAAGAGTGTATTCCTGTAGACCGAATCTCATCATGTTGCCTTGCACATTGAACCAGAGCTCGTTAACCTTGTCAGTGCGAATGGTTCTAAACACGAGCTGCTGGATGAGCTGGGCAGAGAATTGAATCTCTGCAACCTCGGCCAGATACCCAAATGGGGAGTTTTGAAACTCGTCGCGCTGTCGGTCATCAAAAACGTTCATCACTGTCTTCACATACTTCAAGTTGCACCTCTGTGAAATGTGGGCCCGCAACCTTGCCTCCTCTGGAATACAATAATCAAACTCCATCAGTCCTGTGTCCTGCAAGATGCATTCATAAAACTCACTCGGGTTACTGGATAAACTTAAAGATATTGTATCATAAGTAGCAGTTTAATGAAACACACTAAGGCATGGACACACTCAACTGTCG